AAAACTGCAGAAGGCCACGAAATTGAATTTGGTGGGGGTGATGGTGGTAGGCTTTGCTCCTGGGGTGGGATTCAATTTTTTTAACAACTAGCTCTGTGGGCGTAGCCATGTGACTGGGTGAGCATGGCTTGGGGTTTGGGGGGGCAGCAAACCCCCCCCCCCATTTTTTGGTCCTTCTGGGCCTCAGTGAAGCCTCTTGGGGGGTGTTTTTGCTCCCAGAAGGCTCCCCTGGGGCTCAGGAAGGAAAAAAAAAACAGAGCCTAGAGGGGGTGTGCAGCACCCCACCCCACCCTCTGTTTTGGGACCTTCTGGGCCTCAGCAAAGCCTCCTGGGGGAGGCTCCCTGAGGGAATGTTACTGTGGACCCGATCAGCTAAGGAAGTTCAGCTGGTGGGGCCAGGAAAAATGCTTTTGTGCCATGGCCTGCCTTTGGAACATCTTTCCCCTGGAGATGAAATCTGCTCCAATCCTTCTGGCCTTCAAGAAGAGCCTTAAATTAGTTTTTTTTAAAAAAAGCAATACAGCATACCAGTTGATCAGTGGGATACTGTATGGATAAAAGAGCTGAAATTTAATTTATGCTCAAAGAGAATTTCTATAAATATAGAATAGATGGTGTTTATCCCAGATAAATGAGCTAAAATGTATAAAATATCCCCAAATAGTTGCTGAAAATGTAAGACTCAAATAGGAACCTTTTATGCATTTTGCTGGACTTGTAAAAGAGCTAAACAATATTAAATAGAAATGAATAATATAGTTCAGAAAATTTTGAAAATTAATGAGCAATTTAGACTGGAAACTGTTAGGATTTTGGGGTAAAACAGTCAGAAGTCATTCTCCCCTCCCTCCCTCCCTTCATCTCTGTCTGTCTCTCTTGTCTCTCTCTCTATACATATACAGTACATATACATATACATCATATACATATACATATACATATACATACATACACACACACATATATATGCAGGTCTTGGTGTGTTCGGGTCTTTTCCCATGTAAGATTGAGAGTATCTTGGCGATGTTTCGACGAGGTCCCACTTGCCATCTTCAGGCTGGTGCTTTCGGCTTTGTGCTTGTGCAAGCAAAGCGTGATCGGAGCTGCCATCTCTCTATAAATACTGGTAGGGAGGTTGGCTGTGTTCTCCTTTCTTGATTGGTTGATGGAGTTGATGCTTGCAGATTGGGTGGCTTTTTCATAAGAATATGTGTGGCTGAGGTATTGGCTATGTGTCCATCAGCCTCCTGTGTTGTAACAACCTGGGTAATGGGCTGTGTGATGACCTTCTGAGTTCTATTGTTGTGACATCCTGGGTCTTGGGCTGTAATCTCCTGGGTCGTTGGCTGTGTTGCAACATCCCGAGGTTTTGTGGTGTAACCTCCTGAGTTCTGTGATGTGATATCCCAAGCAGGTGGCTGTGATGTGACGTTCCGGGTTTTGGTTTGGCTCCAAGTTTGAGGCCTGGCTATGTGTTCATGGCATGTGCAGTGTGCTTGGTTTGGGGGTGGGGTGTGTGGCAGCTGGTGCTGCAGCCCTGGTCTGGTTTCCGGACGGTGGTTGCCTTTCATCTATGGAGTGGGTTTGGGTTTGAGTCTGGTGAGGGAGATTGGTGGTGGCGTCATGTGTTGTCTTGGGTCCGGTGTTGGTTTTCATGGCTGGGGACTCCTTTGTTGATAAGGGCTAGTTTCCAGGTGTCTGGTAGGCAGGAGGTATCATCCCATTTATTCATGTAATGGGGGTGTTTCTCTATTTCGATGGCTTCCCTGATTATTCTCTTGTTGAAATGTTCAGTATTGGAGATTAATTTGGTTCCCTCAAAATTAATTTCATGTCCTGTGGCTTTAAGGTGCTGGAAAAGGGAGGAAGTATTTTCTTCTTTTCTGACTGCGTTCTTGTGTTCTGCTATGCGTGTACACATGTGATGCATGCACTCAACCAAACATTCTTACGAAAAAGCCAGCCAATCTGCAAACATCAACTCCATCAACCAATCAAGAAATGACAACACAGCCAACCTCCCCACTAGTATTTAGAGACGGCAGCTCTGATCACGCTTTGCTCACACAAGCACGAAGCCGAAAGCACCAGCCTGAAGATGGCGAGTGGGACCTTGTCAAAAAGGTCACCGAGATACTCTCAATCTTACATAGGAAAAGACACACCAAGACCTGCATACCTGTACCCATGAAAATCTACAAACACACACACACACACACACATATACACACACACACACATACAGTGATGTTGGGCTCTGACTAATTTAACAACCGGTTCGTCCTAAAGACCGGGTGGGAGCGGCTGGGGGCTATCGTGACTGAGTAGGCTTGGCCAACTCGATGTCACTCACGGCAAGGTGGGGCAGCAAAGCGGTGGTGGCTGGAGCCTTAGACTTACCTTTGTGCAGCAACAGCAATGGGGCTTTGCAACAGGAAATAGTAGGTGGCTACTTCCGGCCTTTGTTGGTGCAGCTGGGCAGATGACCCTGTCCCAAGACACTGGCCTGCAGCTGCCACCACTCTTTTTCAACGTGAGAAGCCTGCAGCTGCCGGTTTTTGCCGGCATGAAGGCTCTGCAGCCGCCGCCTCTTTGCCAGTTAGATCTGAGTGGTTTGAGGCTACTCATGCCAGCAAAGACCAGGCTGCAGGCTTTTCACGCCGGCAAAGACCGGCAGCTGCAGGATTATTGTGCCAGCAAAGACCAATGGCTGCAGGATTCCTAATGGTGGGGTGAGGCTTGTCTGCCTTTTGGGCCTTGCTCTGGCCTGGGAAGGCAGGAAAGGCCAGAGCCAGGGACTGGCATGCTCCCCAACCCGAGGTGAAGGGCGAGCAGGTGGCATATGGGTGGAGGCCTTGGGGAAGGCCAGAGCCAGTGGCGTGCTCCCCAACCAGAGTTGAAGGGTGAGTGGGTGGCATGTGGGCGGAGGCCCTGGGGAAGGCCAGAGCCAGGGACTGGCATGTTCTTCAACCTGAGGCAAAGGGTGAATGGGCAGCATGCAGGCAGAGGCCCCAGGGATGGCCAGAGCCAGGGACTGGCGAGTTCCCTGACTTGAGGTGAAGGGTGAATGGGCAGCATACGAGCAGAATGTTGAGAACCAGGCCCAAAAGGTGGCTGAGCCTTGCCATGTCCACCCTGAGGTGACCTTTCAGCTGAGCACCTTACCTTTTGCAGGCAGCTGCTGTGAGCAGAGTGGGCAAAGCATGGAGATCAGCTGGGCTATGTGGTCTGGGCAAGTGAGCAAAGGAGCTAGAAAGTAGCTGGGCACATGCATGACTCTAGGCACCAGCCAAGACAGGCAAAACCTTTGCATTTCTAATACTGAAACAAGAAGGCACCATCACATTTTTTCAATGTGATCACTTGTTTCTAATATCAGAAAGGTTGTTCTATAGAAAAAGATGAAGACTCTGAAGTCAAAATCTGATTTAATATTAATATTTTTTTAAACCGTAAGAGCCGTGCAAAGGGAAAAGCTTCCCAGCAAGGTGGTAGATGTTTGTGAAGGCCAGGCCGGAATGATTCAGCAGATTACAGACTGGCCAAACTCTGTAATTTCCTCAAAGAGGGCAGTGCTAATTTAGCTAGGATGTGAAGGGAACAAGAATAAATAAATGTCCTTAGTTATGCTAAATTGAATATTCTCTTTACAGTATGTAATGCATTGCTTTGCTCTGCTTTGCTTCAAGCTCTTCCTCAGCACAGCTTCTGTAGCAGCATTTGACAGACTTTGGCAAGTGCTGAAGGAGAAATGCCACTCAACCATTTCCACTTACCAAAGTAGGACACATAATTATTTTTTCTGTAGCAAATACTAGTTCATGACACAAAGGCATTTACTCAGAGATAGCATTTATGCAGAAAATTCTAGTTTTGCCATGTGGTAGGAAAGAGAAAAGCTTTGAAAGGTGAAACCATTACTGAAGGCCTCACAGAAATGACAGTTCCAATGCTGTTGCTGCATCTCTATCTGCCAAACATCTGATTGGCACATCAGGGATTACTCTGTGGCAGTTATTTTTAAGAGTTTCAATCTGACCCTTTCCCCTCTATGAGCTTTGCATGGAGAGTAAATAATGTTTTAATAGGGTTTAATGTGAAATGATTCAGCAAATTGCGTATAAAAATAAACCCTTTTCACACACACCCATGGGTAATATGTATCTTCCTCAATCAGTGTCTTCTATCAGAGGTCTGGGAGTTTGAGGGTTCTATGTAGTTGTATATTAGCTATTCCTAGCACTGCACTCTTCTGGACACCTCTGGCTCTCATGTCTTTCCTGGGATCTGCTGGAGCCATTCTCCCAGCTCAGAAATAAATAAATCTACCTGACGGAAATATCCAGGAACTGTAATCCAGGCAAATGCAGCTGAAACATTTTTTAAAGTACAGAGAATCAAGATAGAGGAAGTCCTCCTTTAATTATCACAACTGGGACTAGCAACTCCATCATTAAGCAACAGAGTCATTAAGCATGACATCACTCTTCATTATCTCAATAAAAGTACTTTTACTTTTCCTGAGAAATTTTCTGGCCTGGTCTACCAGTGGAGCTGACAAAAAACAAGATGATTTCAAAATCTCAGTGCAGAAAGGCAACTAAGATGTAATAACTTCTATTACTGTACTAAAAATTGAAGGAGTAGCCATACTACCTATTAAAGTATTAACACTGCTATTGACATGCCTTGTTGAAATCTCTGGGTAAAATAAGTGGAGAAATGCCATGGTTAGCATCTACTTATGTCCTTCCAAGTAAGAAAATATTGTTTTCCATTAAAAATAAAAGAGTTTCAAAGGGACATGAAGAGGTAGGGAAGATTCTTTATTTTACAGTTTTTCATGCAGTCATTTGAACTCCTGAAGAATACCGGTAATTAATTGTGCCAATTGGCTAAGACCAAATAAAAAACAAAGTACAGTTGTGTTTTATTTTAGCTACCTATTTACTATGGATTGTGTATGTTGTTTGATAATTGTTTTTAATGGTATGGTTTTTAATACTTTAGTACTTGTGCAGTCTTGCTGTTTATTGAGATTCTATAAAATATATGAAAAGCATTGATATAAGAAACTTCAAAGAGCCTTTCCTCTTCTAAGTATTATTGAAGTTTGTGGAGCTGTGTTAATGGTACATTAACTTGCACAAGCTTTTATGTAAATATAATCAAATAGATGACATTTGGGGCATGAGGTCAAAGCATTTATAATTTGATTTCCTTTTCAGGTTTTAAAAACTTTTACTTGCCCATATCAAATAGTCTAATGTTTAAAATCAGGGTTAGAAGTAATAGAGTTTACCATTTAATCAAGAAAAAAACATAATAAACTATAAATCTAGTAGTAGAAAGATGTAGCAAAATAAAACTCTGAAATACAATGATTGCGGGCACAACTGTATCCCTGATCAAGATTTTTAAAATTATTTTTGTGGGACTGTCAGGCATTTGTGGGACACATTGACAGAAATCTAACCTGGAATACTTCTTTTCAGGCGAATTATAAACTGAAAACTCCTTATATTCTAGGAATGCACATATGTACTAGCCCCTTCTCACAAAATAACAAATGTGAAAAAGTGGAGCTATGATTTATTTGCACTTTGACAAGATGGCCTATAGTCTTCTCGGGCAATCAATGAGAATTAAAAGCAGTTCATCTCCATATCTAGTATAAGTTTATATACAAAAAATGTCTTATCTAGAATTATATGGATATCTAACCCTACCAAGTTACTAAATGACATTAAAAGTATATAGGAAGCAAACATTTTTATTAACAATTTTGAACAAAACAGTTAGGAAAACTATTCCTCCCACAACCTCTATTATCTATTATTTTTTTACTCTTATAAAATATAATAACAAAAAATAACATAAGATTCCAGTGTCACAAACTCACTCTAAGGAAAAATAACAATGAAATAAGACTTATTTTTATTTTATGAAAGATCATAAAATTAAAAGAAAAAAGAAAATGTGCAAACTTCCCAATGGCACATCATAAGTTTTGAAAGTAAGATGTGTAACACCTCTCCCAACCATAGTGAAATTATTTAAAGAGTTTAAATCTATTTTCCAAACTGTAGCAGAAAATATGCCATTAAATCTTTTTTCTGACTGGCAATCTGCAACAAATTAAATTACTTTTACACACTAGAAGTTATCTTATTGCTTTGCTTTTCCCTGAGAACTGTCAGAAAGCATAGCTTAAAATCCTGACCCATGAAGAGGGTGAGGAATTAAATACATGGGGAAATGTAACTAAGTGGTTAACAGACAAGTTCCCAATCTCCCCATCTCCAAATCACTAAATGGTACTGATATTTAGTATTTACGAGATTAACTCCAGGGAGCAGAAGAGTTACCCTGAAGACTGATGATAAAGCTTTTGGTGCAACCAAGCTGCTTGAACTCTACTCATTTAGTGCAATCTTATTGTGGGTGAAAGGCCCTTGCTATACCAACTCAGGGTGAAATGCCATGATCAAATGCTTACATTTCAGCATGCAGGATTGGGCAGAGGGACTATTTTTTTAACACAGTGTACCACCTTCTGAAATAAGATAATTCTTAGGCCAGAAAAATAAGGTTATATGTAAAATATCAGATTTGTCTCAAATGTGATAAAACATTTATGTCTAGGTCATGAAGGAATTTTGATTGCTCAAAATGTGATTCCTAATACTACAAAGCATTTTTTTCCACAAAAGTGAACGTATCCTTTTATTCTTCAAGAAGACAATGGAAGGCGTCATGGAAACACACCATGTGAAGTCATCTTTCTGGGTTCCCAGCCAGCTGTGACTCCAACATCAGAATCATCTCTAGAAATGTATCTTCTGGAGAAGGCATATAGAAGCATGCAACCTTAGTACTGGGAGAGAGATAAAGCTTTTGCCTCACAACAGTTATGGAAACTAAAGGATGTATAAGTTGCAATCCCTGATCAAACAAATCACAGTTAAGTATTCCAAGGTAAGACCTATTGTTTTACAACAGGGGTGTCAAACTCAAGGCCCGCAGGCTGGATGCAGCCTGTGATGTAGTTAAATATGGCCTGCAGGGTTGTCTTTGAGACAGCAAAGGACAAGCACTTGACGCCTCAGCCCCAGCTCAGCGCTAATCTATAACTTGATGGCTGCTATCCGGGCTGGAACACAGTCGGCCTTAGATCTGCAGGGCCGTCCTGGTGCCAGTGAGGAATTGCCCCACTGCCTGGGCGTTTGCCGCCTCCTGTATGAACCCCCAGGGGGTGCAGGTTGTCCCACAGATCTAAGGCTCACTGTGTTCTAGGCTGGATGGCCGCCATGCAGTTATAGATCAGCACTGCGCTCCCACCACCAGCACCTGCTTACCAGCCTCGCCTTGCAGCTCGTAAGGCTTCCTTTTCACTGGGACTGCCTCTGCCCCACCCCATCTAGGAAAGCCAAAGCCATGGTAAATATGGCCACCAGGAGTGCTGCCATCTCTCCTCCACCCCTCGTCCCTTCTTGACTGCAGAGGAAGGAATGAGATGGGAATGAGAGGAGGGAGGCAGGAAAGGAAGGAAGAAGGAAGGAGGGAGAGAAGGAACATGAGAAGGAAGGAGAAAGAAAATGAGTTTTTTTGTGTGTGGAGGAAGCAAAAAGTAGCAGCATTCCTTGGCTGGGAAGAGGGCAAAGGCAGAAAGGGAAAATAAGCCTCAGATCCTGCAAACCAAGAGCAGTTATTGCCGCTTGTGGGAAAGGAAGAAAAAGGGGAGCCAAAAGCTACTGTAAATCCCCAAGGCTGACATTACTCTGGCTGGCAGTTGATCTCTCCCGCTCTGGCTTCCCTGCTCGATTTCTCGCCTCCTTTACTTCAGAAGCAGACACATGGGAGGGGGGGGTTTCTCCCTGGTTTTTCTTCCTCTTTTTCCTTGCTCTGGAAGCATCGTTTCTGGGCTGGGGGTTTTTACCTTTGGAAGAAGAAGCGGTGGGAGTGGAGAAGGCAGTGATTCGGGCTTGTAAGGGTCCCTTCTCCGGCTTTGGATTTGTCTCCTCTGTGTGTATGTATTTTTTCTTTCCCTCTTCTTCTGATTTCTTTTTTTCCTGGAAACAAAGGAGGAGCAGGGAGGAGGGGTGGGGTTGTCCCAAAAAGCAAGACCCCAAAATTAAAAGAATGGCTTCTAAAATCTTTTTAAGTTATGATGCTGACCCTGGGCCAGCAATTTCTCTTTTTCTTTTGGGAAAAAACAAGCAGCAGGTATCTGAGCAAGCATCCCTGGCTCTTAATAACAACCACATTTAAAAGCTGGGGGTGGGGGGGGGAGAATCACCTTCTCTCCCAGGAAAGGGGAGGGGGAAGGAAGGAAGGAGATGAGAAAGGGGAGGGGAGGAAGGAAGGAGATGGCAGTGGCAGATTAAGGCTCACTGGTGCCCTAAGCACTGACAAATCTTGGTGCCCCCCTCCTTTGTACATACTGTACAAACGACGCCATATATTTCAACTTAGTGGTGCCCCCTTTGGGCCTGGAGCCCTAAGCACGTGCTTAGTCTGCTTAATGGTTAATACACCACTGGGAGATGAGAAAGAGAAAGAGAAGGAAGGGGAGGGGGAGGGAGGGAAGAGAGAAATGGGAATAGAGAAGGATGGAGGTAGGGAAGTAATGGGACTAATGAGAGGAGGAAGGAGAGGGGAGGGAAGGAGGGAGAAAGATGGGAATGAGAAGGAGGGAGGCAGGGAAGCTGGCCACACACACACACCTGGCTAACCGCCCCCCAGCCCCAGGTCAACCACAATGCTCACATAGCCGTCAATGAAATTTGATTTTGACACCCCTGTTTTACAAGAATCAATTTAGCCATTCAATATTTAGGAGAAAACAAAGATTGCACAAAGCTACACCAGGATAAAAGTTAAATGCTGCTAACAACCACTTACTTTCTATCCACGCTGCTTTTAATGATAGAAAGTGGGATTTCTTTGTGTTAGGCTTAGAGAATAAATCTACTAAATTTATCCTAAAATTTATCCTAAAATTTATCCTGTATTTATTTACACACACGCATGCACACACACAGTTTTTGATGAGGCTTAGGCTTTAATGCCTGAAACTCTTTAACAGCAACATCTTTTTCCAGTTTATGCCACAATTCCCAACAATCAAGACAAGAAAAGCTGCTGTATATCTGCTATATGTGCATTCTCACATGCTTTGAAGCATCTCTTTGCAATCAGTCCTGAAGGAATCCATAGGTGTACAGTATTTAAAATATAAATAACAAGTTTGTTAGTAATGGGAGGGAGGGGAATGGAAGCAACCTGTAGCCTGATTCAATCACTGGTGCTGTAATCTTCCTACACATATGGCTTTTAAATCAGCTATTATGTGTGCCTGAGTAACAGTTAAACTATTTATTTCTATGAGCCATGGTCATGCAATGGTTAGAATGCAGTACTGCAGGCTACTTTTGCTGGCTGGCTGAAGTTTGGCAGTTAAATACTCACTGGCTCAAGGTTGACTCAGCCTTTCATCCTTCCGAGGTGGGTAAAATGAGGGCACAGATTGTTGAGGGAAATATGCTGACCCTATAAACCGCTTAGAGAGGGCTGTAAAGCACTGTGAAGTGGTATATAAGACTAAGTGCTATTGCTATTGCTATGGAAGAAAAAGCTCTTATTTCTGCCAGCTGTCATATGCAGTAGTTCAATTTTACTCATAAAGGATCCCTCAAATGTAGTACACATTTTTTTCATAAAATCATACAATTATAGGGCTGGAATGAATCTTCTCATCCAACCCCCTGCCCAAGGCAAGAGTCCTTATGCCTTTCCCTCCACCCCTGTGATTCTATTCTGACCAAATGACAGTCCAATATTTTCTTGGAAACCTCCAGGGATGGAGCACCCTCAACTCTGGGAGAGAAAGCTGTCTAATTTATTGTTTTTACAGTCAGGCAATTCCTCCCTATTTCCAGGTTGGATCTTCCTGACAAGCTTCCACCCATTGCTTCTTATTCATTTTATAGGACTGACAATTCCCTAACAATTATCCAGGGAAGAGCATGAAGACTGCATTTGAGAAATAGAGAACAAGTTTGGTGTTTGCCAAAGGGAGTTCAGCAGCAATATGTTGTTCCATTGTCATTTCCCTAAATGCAGTCACTTATTTTCTTTCACAAGACAGCATATTAATTGAGGGGGAAAAATGACATTACTACCATCCTTACTCTCCAAACCAAAAGTAACTTAAAAATGCCATCACCTGCTGTGATTGAGCAGGGAACTGGGTATTTATGAAAAAGAAATATGTTTATGTGATTCAAGGGGTAAAGAAAAAGATCATGGCCATTCTAAAATAAGCAACATATTCTTGAAAATGTGAGGCAAAATGATAACACTTCAGTGATAATTCTTGAAGCGATAGGAAGGTAAACTAAGTATCTAAGACATGCAAAAAATGCCAAAAATAACAAAAGTTTCTTTCAATACATAAAGAATAAGATGAAAGTCAGGGAAATTATAGGTCCACTGATGGGAGAAGATGGTAAATAATAAATAATCCAACCAATCAAAAAATAATCCAATCTATCAAAAGCAGCACCACAGGAGACAGAACAGGAATACAGGTCAAGGGAGGCAAGGAAGTGGTAAGAGAAGAACTATCAACTCTAGACAAGAGGAGATCACCCAGATCAGATGGATTACATGCCAGGATTCTGAAGGAACTGGCAGACATGATCACAAAACCACTGAACAAAATGTTTCAAAGGTTCTGGAATATAGGGGACCTACCAGAGGACTGGAAAAGAGCTGATGAGGTTCTAATTCTAGGTTGCATTAATAGAGGAATAGAATCAAAATCATGTGAAGTACTAGTACTGTTCTACAAAGCCTTGGTAAGACCACACTTAGAATACTGCATCAAGTTTTAGTCATCCCAATACAAAAAGAGATGTTGCGACTTTGAAAAGAATTCAGAGAATAACAACAAAAATGATTAGGAGCCTAGTAGCTAAAACATATGAAGAATGATTGCAGGAATTGGATATAGTTAAGTCTAGTGAAAAGAAGGATCAGGGGTGGCATGATAGCAGTCTTCCAATACCAGTGGAACAAATCACCTTCAGAAATTGTGGGTGTCCCAACGCTGCTTTTAGGAAGAGATTGGACAGCCATCTATCAGAAACAGTATAGATTTTGTCTGAGAGCAGAGGGTTGGACCAGAGGACCTTCAAGATTCTTTCCAAATTTATTACTATTACAATTTTCAAAAAAGGAAAAAAAAGTGGAATCAGGAAACTACAGATCAATCAACTTATCACCATATGATGAACAATTAAGGGAAGTAGGTATGTCTAGCCCAAGGGTCTTCAAACTTGGGCAAGCTTAAGACTTGTGGGCTTCAACTCCAGAATTCCTGAGCTAACACAACTGGAGGAGGAATTCTGGGAGTTGAAGTCCACAAGTCTTAAAGCTGTCAAGTTTGAAGACCCCTGGTCTAGAAGGATTACGGCTGACAAAGCTGTCTTCCAGGACTTGAGGGGCAATCACAGAAATGAGGGGGTTGACCTATTCTCCAAAACACCTGAGGGCAGGACAAAAAGCATTAGGAGGAAACTTGTTAAAGAGAGATTCAATCTGGAACTAAGGAGATTTCCTGACAGTGAAAACAATGGAATACCTTACCTTCTGAAGTTCTGGAAGCTCCATCGCTGGAGACTGGACATTCATTTATTTGAGTTGGTATAAGGCTTTGGGCAGGGGATTGGACTACAGTAGAAGACCTCCAAGGTACCTTCCAGCATTATGATTCTATAACTCTATGTGTACATTTGCTTTTTCTTGTTGCAAAATTTTTCAGATATGCTATTTAGTACTATATGGCACATTCCTCTATACTGAACTTTCAATGCAAACTTTCAATTATTATTTAATAATAATTAATGTTAAATGGAATGTAAAAATATTAAGGAATAGTTTTTAAAAATACATTCATTGTGCATTCCAAATTTATATAAAAAAAGATGAGATTATGTATTATATCTGTATAATGAGTAAAATGAGTAGAGAAAGAATTCATGTGACTATTGGCAATCCCAGATAACTTGTATGAAAATATATTTCTTAATTTTTTTATCTAGTGAATGCCATCAATTACATTAAAAAGCTGCCAGCATCCAATAATTTGTTCTGGAAGTTTTGAGATGTTCATAACATATATCTGAGACGTGTCATATTCATTCCAGTAGAAATGCTGATAATCAGCCAATGTTACAAATTTCTCTTTCTGCTATGCATACATGCTGGCTACCTCCACCACAGTATAGCACTTAAGATACATTGATTTACATATTACACACTAAAACAAGCTTTAATTTATGTAAAACTTACATGGCATATTTTGAATCATTTGCTATATTATACAAAGGACTTTGCCACAAATGATTAAATGTAGGCATAATTTTACTAATTAGTCTTCCATGAAGAGTACTCAATGAAGAAACACAATCCCAGCTTCATTCCTTTGGAGTTGCAGTGAGCATTTTTACTTAAACTAAGGAGGGCTTAAAACCCTTTTCTGAGACTGGGTAAATCACTTTATTAACCTTAGTTCAAAAGCATGCAGGGATAAGATGCAGCAGTAGCAAACTATCCATGTTTTCTTTCTTGATAGATCACTGATATTACCATTTAAAAAGTAAGAGTTTGTGTTAAAAAGGGAAAGAACAGCTAATCAGAACAGCAGAAGTATTTCAATTCAAAGAAAACATTCTCAGCAATGCTTGTGCAGAACCCTGTCACCAGTGGTAAAATGATCTTGCAGTCATTTTCTTTCCCAGCATAAGATAGGCAAGTGAGAAAAGAAGTTGCATAGTGCAAGGGAAAAAGACAAATCTATCTAAGGTATCGAACAATCCTCCCTCCAATATTTGAAGGGATCACCTCATTCTATTAGCACTAATGAAGAGAAGGCTTTTGAGAACAAAATTATCTTGGGATGTAGATGCCCAATCAAAACATTTAAAAAGTCATAATTAAGGCAACTTGTTGCATTCCTGCTTTGGCAACATCAATACAGTGAGATATATGGGCAGATTAGGTTCTGATCTTTAGCCTCTCTTCTGTGCCATATTTTTCTTCTTGGGAATGTGTTCCCAATCCTGCCTGCATGGAAGTAGGGAACTACAGCACAAATTCCCACCTTTGTTCCAAGCATATTACTAAGTCAGCAAAAACCTTTGCATTTCTAATACTGAAACAAGAAGGCAGAAAGCAAATTCAAGATTCAAAGAATATGACCACAGATTTAAAGGTCTTGCAAAAGAGCCCTAGAATGACACAGGCTGAAGTGATTAAATTATTTGCCTCTTCATCCCATGTATATAAGTGTGAAAGGGAAAACTGCAAAGTGACTTAGTGTTGTTTCAACTCCTTTGTAAAACAGGCTTCATGCCAAAGGCACTGGTCCTACATATCACTCAGCTCTAGTTTTGACGACTACTTGTCCCCATAGTGGTTTCATCAAGAGTTTCTTCAGTGACCTCTACATCATTATCCTTTTTAAGTCCTCTGCGTGGATTTTTGGCACCAAGAGCATCTTCTTTGATCAACTCTGAAGCAAGTAATGATGTGACTGCACAGCCAACATTTTTGTTTCCTGGAATGACACAGAAACAAACAAAAGCTAAAATATTGAAAAATAAAAAACTAAGTATACACTGAAGATAATGCTGCCTTAATATACTAGCCATTTTCTTTCAAATACTTTAGTTTATAGTTGCTCATAAGAACTCCACTAGGGTTGGGGCAACTATAATGAAAACTCCGCTGTAGTGAAACATAGTAGACAATTGTGACCTGGAGTGTGGACTCTTTAGAAAATGGGGACAAAGCAAATACCTCCCCCACCTTTTCCTAGAACTGATTTTCCTTTGCAATATTTGAAGTTATGATTATACATGTAATTAAGTATTTTGATCAGAAAATATGCAAAGAGGAGACCATTAGAATTGTATGGTGGTCTCTAGAAAAAAATGACTTCATGAAGCCTTTATATTTCAGTAAAATTCTGAAAATTCTGATCAGAGGAGTAGCACTCTCTAGCAGCTACAGACAAAGGAAACAAAGGAGAACACAATGCAGTGTTCTGATGAGCGAGGAAGACGAGGGGTTAGGACTCAGCTCCCTTTGATTCATCAAATAAATCTACATTCACTAGTGAATAAAATGGATGAACTGCACCTTCTAAATCAGAACTCTGATTTTTCTGTTCTCTACTTTACTGAAACTTGGCTCAGTGACACTATGCTCCATAGTATAGTAGAACTCCCTGGGTTTCAGATTCAAAGGGCAGATCAGGTTACAGAGACATTGGGGGTAGGGAGAAAAAAGAGGTGGAATTTGTTTCCATATTAATAACAACTGGTGCAAGGATGTCACAGTACTAAAGAAATTTTGCAATGTGGACTGAGCCACTATTCATCAATAGTAAACACTTTTATGCTCCACAAAAGTTTTTCTCATTTACCTTGGTGGAGTTTATATACTACCCGACTTGCATGAATAGCACAGTGCAGACTCTAGCAGACCAAATACTCTGCACAGAATGGAAATATCCAGATTCCCTACTCATTGTTTTAGTGGATTTTAATAGAGCTAATCTCACTCATGAGTTGCCCAGATAACACTTAACATGTTAGCTGTTTCATTAGAGGCAAGAACATATTGAATCATTACTACTCCGTTAAAGGGTGCTTATCATGCTTTATCCCGTGCAGCCATAGGTCTCTCTGATCATTTTATGATCCACCTCATTCCCATAGGCAGAAATTTAAAACTGCAAAGCCTGCGGTAAAAACAATGAAATGTTGGATTGAAGAGACAAAGTTAGGGTTACAGGCTTGCTTCAATTGCAGAATGGAGTGTTTTTGGAGCTACTTCAACACAATTGGATGAATTTACTGATTCTATGACATTGTATGTTAGCTTTTGTGAGGACATGTGTATGCCTACAAAGAGCTTATGTTTATATAACAATAAGCCTACAGTTAAACTCAAGCAGCTTCGTCATGCCAAATAGAAGACTTACAGGAAAGGAGATAGGATCTTGTACAATCAGGCCAGGAATGTATTAACAAGGGAGATAAGGATAGCAAAGAGAAGCTATTACGAAAAGCTGAGAAATCAGTTCTCAGCTAATGAACCTGCAACTAATGAAACCTGAGAAGCCTGAAGACCATCATTGGCAACAGCAGATCTCCCTCCCTTACTGAAGACAATCGTCAACTGGCAGACAACCTGAATGTGTTCTACTGCAGGTCTGACAGATTACCATCATCTATTGCTACTTACCTTGCATCAGATACACTAACAGTAGATAATTTTGCTATATCTATCTCAATAGACCCCCCCAGTAATCGTGGAAAAAGATTTGCAAGTTTTATTTCATAGGCAAGTTCCAGGCTAATGGAGTGACTTCTTGCTTGATAGCCTGTGATGAACTGGCCCACATCTTCACTCAGATTTTTTAATAAAACACTGGAGGTGTGTTATATTCCTTCTTGCTTTAAATGGTCTACCATCATCCCAGTTCTTAAGAAAACTTCCATCAGGGAGCTGAATGACTACAAATTGGTTGCTTGACATCCATAGTCATGAAGATCTCTGGGAGGTTAGTGCTGGAGTACCTGAAAGTCATCATAGATCCATGGGTAGACCCCTTGCAGTTTGCCTATTTTGTAGATATGATTTGTCCTGGAAGTTCATAACATATATCTGAGATCCAACATATTCATTCCAACATGAATGCTGATAATCAGCCAATGTTACAAATTGCTCTTTCTGCCACACATATACACTGGCTACATGCTATTGGCAGATAGTGGTTGGTTGCCCTGAAATACCGGACAATACACAAACAATTTTAACAGTATGTAGATATTCGTTATTTCTCTTTTATCTTCACTAAAGTTCATTGTTAAACAAATTTCATAAAACATTAGTTCCACTGTCAAAGGGGCCTTATGGGACGGGGGCTCCAGTCCACCTCCACCACTGTATAACACTTAAGATACATTGATTTACATATTACCCATTAAAGCAAGCAAGTAAGCAAGCTTTAATTTATGTGAAACTTACATGGCATATATTGAACCATGTGCTATAATTATACAAAGGACTTTGCCACATAAGATTAAATGTAGGCATAATTTTACTAATTAGTTTTCCATGAAGAGTACTCAATGAAGAAACACAATCCCAGCTTCATTCCTTTGGAGTTGCAAGTGAGCATTTTCACTTAAACTAAGGAGGGCTTAAAACCCTTTTCTGAGACTGAGTAAATCACTTTATTAACCTTAGTTCAAAAGCATGCAGGGATAGATACAGCAGCAGCAAACTATCCATATTTTCTTTCTCGACAGATCACTGATATTACCATTTAAATAGTAAGAGTTTGTATTAAAAAGAGAAAGAACAGCTGATCAGAACAGCAGAAGTATTTCAATTCAAAGAAAACATTCTCCACAATGCTGGGCTGCCTCAGGAATTCTGAGAGTTGAAGTCCACGAGTCATAAAAGGTTCATAGTTCCCCATCCCTAAACTAAAATACAAAATAAAAGTAAATACTACTCCCTTCTAGCATTGATGAAGTTAACAATGAAACACCTGCAAACAGCAACCAAGCTCAGCCAGAGTTGGACCACTGGACCATTGTTGACACATGGGCTTTCTCCATTTTATCCCTATAGCAGCTATTTTGAGCCAATGATTGATACTGAATTTTATGGATAAACAAGATTTGACTAATCTGATCCAATAATTATATTCTACATTGTATTATATCATATATTTTGTACGAACTACATGGTAGAGACATCAAAGCTTTGTTATTTTCAAAATGCAAGTGGATTTTTTTTTTTATTCAATTCTGTCTTCCATGCCCTAAAACCTAGTTGGTTCACAATGGTGCTAAGAAAAACGATTATTTCACACTTGCTTTGAAGACATTTGAGCAAAACCATACCTTGGCATCGTCCTCTTTTTCTACGGAAGGCTGCACCTGACTGTAAGGCTTCTAGTAGGCTGTCCATAACTCCTGTTTCATCTCCTTCTGCAAGAACACAAAATAAGAAATTTCTTGTTATTTTCATTGGCTCCTCCATCTAGGGAGTAGCATTATAGACTCAAGCCTATGGGTGTTCTGGAATGTGTACTGTAGAAAAGAGAATAAAATTGTTATTAAAATATTTCTTGATAAAAACAAAAAAGAGGTGGTCATAAGTGAAAAATTACTATATAAAGACAACAATACACAAAAATGCTTCTCAAAATATTTCCCTTTGTCTTAAATTGGGAGAAACCTTTTATAAAAATGAGATTGAACAATGGAGGGTTTAAAGAGGATTTAAAAAAAAATCTTCCTGGAACTTTCTGAGGCATTTTTCCCTTGATCCAATGTATCTGTTTTATAAATACATAATTGTGAATTTGGATATAAAGCAGGGATAACGAAGAGAAATTCCTTATAAGTTCACCTCTTCCTTTATATGTCATATTGCTTTAATTGTACAACCATGGTATTACTCTGATGCCTTGAAATCATTAGTATCCTGAGGGATTTAGAGCTATGCATTTTCCACTGATCTACTTTTCACTCTATACAACAGCCAGAGTATTAAGAAGACCGGCTGAAACAGGCCAGTTAATGTTGTTTCCCTAGCAACAAGCATATTCCTTGTCTCAAAAACAGGAAAAGGAAGAGCATCTACATTGCTCCTGTGATGAAGACTGTTTTGTCAGTGCCTTCTTCTGCTACACAAGAAGCCGAGCCTCTTTGATGACAACCGAAAAGTCCCTGAACACTACAATATTTTCTATTCCATTTGAATGTTTGCCTCCCCCAACTCTCATCAACCTGGCACTGAATGTGTTAACTGCAACTTCATGAGGAGCTTGCAAAATCTGGTTTCCATAGTAACAGCTCCTGACAAAACATAAACCTATAAAATCACTTTAGAACATCTGCTCCCTTTTAGGTAGACTGAATCCATTGTTTATACTGCCACCTGCTGGCCAACATAAATGGCTAGTGTTACCAATAAAGTACATTAATGTCTGAAAACATTAATGAACAGAAAACAAAAATGCAAAGAAATTGCCACACAAACCTCCATTTTTCCAATTCCATCAGAAAGAGTCTATGGCATGATTAGTAAAAATGGACAGGTCCCAATTACAGATGGTTCCAACACTGATTATGAAGTAGTTTTACAGCACTGGAACTAAAAGGCACGCATATAGAATGCAGCTGTTCATTTCCCATTACTTAAGCAAAGGAAGTAGTGTATATAGGGTAGATATTTTGAAAACTATATTTAGCCTTACATTTACTCACACTCAGTATTTTTGCTGATGCAACCTCATGTGGAACATCACACAAATGATGTAATTGTACAAGGAATAATAATAGATCAAGCTTCTGGTTTGTAATTTCAATTACAGTCTTTTTAATAAAAATGACAAGGTGACAAGTTGTCAGTGTATTTGTGAACATTTACATCCCCCAATCTTGTCTCAAGTTGACACTGCCTTTAGAAATATGTTGTTCAGGAAATACAGAGGCATCTCCTGAAAAAATGGATACAAAGGAGTTTGGAACCATCTGGCAATCAAGAAGAGCCACATGATAGATGATAGAAAAAAACATAAGTGACAGGAGGCAGCTAAATAGGCATTACATCTGCTTGCTGACACATTTGAAGAAAAGTCAGTTATCAAAGGCAAAATTTAAATACCTCTATATTTTTCACTTTTGCTCTTCCATCTTGATTACATAACCTGCATTATGTTTTGGGTTCCCCAAAAATTACAAAAAGAAAAAAAAAGAGTACCTGTAGTAGTGCTAAGGAATGTGCAGAATTTCAGACAGGAATGTTTTCTGATAAAAGAGACATTAAATAATGAATCTGGTCCTTATCGATCAGAGTAAAAAAAAAACAAAATTATTATTACAATACAGGGCAAGGATTTTAAAGTTGTCCCTAAAGTTTAAAGAAGGGAGGAGCAGAAGCAGAGGAAGAGTCCCTCCCCAGAGAAATAAAGACATGTCACTACAAGCAGTGAGAAATAATTGTGCTAGAATGGGAATTGTTCCATGAAACTTATGGGGTCTTTCCTTCACTTTGCCAAGTGCAGATACTTTGCAGAAATATTAAACATTGCAGTATTTCACAAGGTTGTGGGGGAAGAGGAAAAGAATGTGAAAAAAACCAAATGGCATGTCATTTAGCACAACTTCAACCAATTCAAAAGGAGAGAGAACTGGCAGGAAATTGTGGGAGTCAGGAAATAGAGAGGGATGGTAATTGAGTCCGTATGTTCCAAGAAAGGGGTAGCCAGTGTTTTTTTGTTGCACTAAAAAAAACCAACCAAGTATCATATGGCATCTGAAACACTAATAAATGTATCATCACAAGCTTGTTGTGCTTCTAGGCCACTGCATGCACAAATGCATGAAGAAAGATCTTGAGAGAGGGATTGCTTACGTATGCAGAATTAATCATTAGGGGAGAGGAGGGGAAGAAGAGAAAAGGCAGGGTTGTTTCAAAAGATGGGAGACAAGGAAAATGCAGCTTTACATGTTAATTAATGAGTAACAGTAAAAACAGAACAGACTTTTCTTTCCACCTGTCAGGTTTTTGCAGAAAAGTAGGTCCAAAGTCCATTAAATCTAAGTAAAGGAATGTATTCAGCAGCAAAAAGATTATCAATTTGTAAAAATAGCATAAAATGGAGTACAGGTAATCCTCAAGTTGCGAATGTAATGGAGCCTGCTTATTCCATTCATAACCTGGGGATTCATCTTGTACCTTGAACATGATAACTCCCTCCTTTCACCCATGCATTCGCTAATCAAATACAAGGCTCATTAAGTGTACATATCTCAGGGTAGGGAAGGCCATGAAGAGCTTAGTGATGGAACAGGCCACCTGGTTCAGACCACCCGAGGCCTCCCTCAACCTACTGAAATACCTCATGCTCCCCACAATTGCTTCTCGCCACCCAACCCTGCTGTGCTGGGTCACTTACATTGAGAAGATCTGTCTCCTCTCCAGCATCTGTTTCTTTGCCTGCTCCCAGTGAGGGCAGAGGGAGCAAAACGAGCACGCCCTACTTGGTTTCTCTAATCACCAAGCCTGCCTGCCATTTCTGGAGTGGTGGGCAACCTCAGTGAGTCTCTTCCAAAGGCTTTCAGACTCCATGGGAAAAACTGTTTGCACAAAGTGAGGTTTGGGGGCAGCAAACTCATATTGCTTCAAGCCCCTCATTAGCATGCAACCACTTTTCCCGCAGAGATTGGAACTTTCTGAGTGCCATGATCCCGCAGAACCTCAGGCACCCATTCTCTGCAAAAGCGGATGGGTGCCAGAACTTGTGTGAGACCATGTACCCCAGAGGCTTCCAGTCTTCCTCTGGGCAAAAAGTGTTTGAGTGACCCCCTGGGGGGGTTGGAAACAGAGTGAAAAGCCCTGTTTTCAAGCAATTTGCTCAGTTTCCCTCTCCCAGGGCTGCTCAAACACTTGTCACCCTGACAGAGACTGAAAAGTCATCTGCATGGAAATGGGGCACTTGAAAATGGAATGAAAACCACCCCATTTCCATGCAGGCTATGTTTGCAGTCTCCATCAGGGAGACAAGCGTTTGAGCAGCCCTGGGATGGTTGGAAATGGGAGCAAAATCCCTAAGGTTGCTCAATCACTTGTTGTCCTGATGGTGACTGCAAGTGTAGTCTGCATGGAAATGGGGCATTTGAAGACGGAGCTTCTCTTCAGTAGATGCCTTGAGGAAAGTTTTTTCCTGGCAAAAAACGGAGCTCCAAAGCGATGTGCACTCCTCCAAGGGCTCTGTTCTCAGCAGCAAAGGCTTTCTGCAAAGATGGCAAAAAGCTTTGCAAATGGAGGGAAAGTTTCAATGTTTTAGGCCTTCCTGCCCTTGTAAAGTCTTTTGTAGCAGCTCTCATCCAGGCCTCCGTTTGCAGAGAACAGAGGCCTAAAGTACCATGAGATCATGTGAGAGCAATAGCATGATTTCTCGCACTACTGATCTAGAGTGATCTTGCAGTACTTTAGGCCTCCATTCTCTGCTTACACACTGAAGGCTAAGAAAGCGAAGGCTCTCTAGATCTTTGCAAGATGAATATCCACAGGCCTAGTGCCTATGCAGACCCGGCGCAGGGAGAAGAAGGGGGGAATAAGCAGGGCGAATGTTGCAGAGCTTCTGCAGTTGTTTGTAAGGGAGAACTGCCACGGTGCTGCAACATTTGTAGTTTCAGGACTGGTTCGTACATGCTAGGGGTGCTTATTGCATAATTTTGAACGTTCACGAAGGGAACGCTTGTAATCCAGAGATTACTTGTACTCTAGTCCAGAAGATCTGCCTTTTGAAAAGCAGAATCCCAAAAATCTGCACTAATATGTGAAGGTGCAGTCAATTATAGGGAGTCCTTGACTTATGATCATTTGTTCAGCAACTTCAAAATTAAGACAATACTAACCCAAAGGAATTACAAACCACTGCCTGATGCCTATTGAAGCACCCAGTGTCACATGATAAAATTTTGGACACTTGTGAGCATGCATACTCTGGGGGGGAGGTGCTGCAACTCCTCTAGCATGCCCACTTTCCCCCCCTCTAGGTTGCTCTGCAGACCAGCGCTCAACCTCAGTATCAGGCCTAGGGCCTCCAGCAGTTTCAACCAACTCCCATTGCCACAATCCTCTGCTTCAGTCTTAGCGCTGACACTGCCATCCACAGATGCCACCTTGTGCAACTCATCAGAGGCGGCAGCTCCTGCTCACACCAGGCTTTCTTTCCCAGAGACTGTTTGTGCAGAGCTTCTGAAGCCTTTAGAAATTCCACAGAGTTTGCATGTAGTCCCTGAAATCTTTGGAAACCCAGTGCAACTTCAACAGGCTTTGGAAGCCTCACATGATTTGGGAAGTTTTTGGTGATTGCATGCAAACTCTTGTGGAGCTTCTGAAGCCTTTCAAAGTCATTCCAGGGTTCCAGAGTCAAAATTCTGCCAGGGTTCCACTCAACTTCAGAAAGTTTTGGAGTTTACACAGAGCTTCCGAAAGGCTTCCTGAATTGCACAAGTTGAAACCTTCTGAAGTCATGCTAGGCTTCCATAGCCTTAGGAAGCTTTCAGAGATTTTGGGTGAACTCTCATGGAGTCTCCAAAGCCTTCCAAAGTTGCAGTTTCTGGAATTTTCAGAAGCCCTGCACAACTTAGGAAGCTGGAGCTTCCATAAAAGAATTCCAAAGAATTTGTAATCTCCACACAAACAGGCTCTGGGGAAAAAGGCCTGTGTGGAACCAGCAGCTGCCTCTTGTGGGTCGCTAGAACCCCTTGATAGCAGGAAAGAAATGCCTGAAGATAAGAAGTGTGCAAAAGATCCTCAAGAGTGCTGGGTGAATGGTGTGATGTGACATTTGTGAATGGCAGCAGTGGCACCAGTACTTATGTGGCAACTGGTTGAGGTTGCTAATGGCCCTGAGCCTTTACTGCCCCACCCCAAGGCACCCGTACTCCACTTGATGACCTGCATGATCACAACCTAGGAGTGCCAGAATTGCAGTCATGTCAATGCAATATGAAAATAAGATCCTGAGTAATCTGATTCATCTGTTTTTTATCAATTAAACAAACATTGTGCAACATGCTTGCATTTATACTACACAATGTACTCATACAATGTATTAAGAGTCATACTCTAAGAAATGAACAGGGGCAATTTCATAATACTTGCATTAAATACAAGAATTAACTATATGTCATAGATAATTTTTTTTGCTACATATGACTAACTATGTACTAAAAAGCTGCATTCAAATAGCTTATTCCTATACTAATACTAATTTCTGCCTTAAATTTCTGTTATATAGCATGTATAGACTTATATAGAAATAGAAGAGTATAATATATAGCATGTATTAAGTATGCTTCAAGAGGAGGTTTTGTTATGCATTTTTCATCTTTCAAACTTGCATCTTTTTGGATTTTCAAACATGAATTAGTAGATGTCTGTATACTATAGCTTACCACAAAAATATTTTAATAAAAATATCTGTCCATCTGGAAGCATCTTTAAACATTACATACTGTTGAGAGATTATGGAATTTGAAAGTGAGATAAAAATATACAGATGTATGGCTGGCAGTCTGAGAGGTGAATATATGTATTCATATACACGTACAGAATTACTCCACCTCTGAATACCAACTGCTAGATGACAAAGAATATAGAGATTGCTATGGTCTCCATATTCTTTTTGCGCGCTGAAACACTGGCTACAATTGTACAGGATTTATTTTGGGCTCTGAAGCCATATGCTTCACAATTTTGTCCACATTATATGACATATTCATGCACCCTTTTTCTCCAATTAATGTCTCCTGCAGACTTTAAAAATATCAGTAGTCCTCGACTTATGATGAGCTGCTTGAAATTTGAAATTATCATTTGAAATTATGACACATTCAAAAAAAGGGACTTATAATCCAGATTCGACGTTCCAACATCCCTCCCTCCCCCAGGGTCATGTGACTATATTTTTGGTACTCAGCAACTGGTCCTTATTTATGGGTGTTTGCAGCGTACCAGTCATGTGACTGTGATTTAAGACATTTTTAGCAGAAACATTCTTTTATTTCCAGTTTCTGGCAAAAAACGGCCAATGACAAACATTCATTCAACAAATGCAGCATTTGCTTAACAACCATCACAAAACAGATAATAAAATTGGACATAGTCATGTGGTGACCTACTTTACAACCCTTATAATGTACAACCAAATTGCAGGGTCAGTTATGGTTATTAATCAAGGAGAACCTTTAATAATAATGTATTAAACTTGAATACTGCCTGATTCCCAGAAATTTGGAGCAGCTCACAAAAATCAAAGAAATTACATAAAATCAATAAAAGATGGTAAACGCTCAGACCAGATGGAAAAAAGCAAAGGTCTCATTCCCTCTCATCAAAGACATGGATGAAGACCCAGCTCTTCTTGGCTTTTCTGAACAACAGCAGAATCTAGATATGGGAGGAGGGAACCTCATTGCAGAGGGCAGGCATTAATACATAGAGAGCACACTTATTTAACTGAAGGAACCAAGAGTATCCCAACCTTGCAAGATCAAATTGGCCAGGCAAATACTATGGAGACAGATGATCCCTAAAGTAAATGTCCTCTAATGAGGCCAATGCAGTCTATTTTAAATCTATTAAGCACAGTCAGTAGTTCTCATGGTCAAGTACTGTAGCTGCTGAACAGAAATGATCCCTTTTCTGCTGGGAAGAATTTTGACAGGGAGTAAAAGGCAAGGGGATAAAAGACTAGGAGACCTTAAAAAGAACTTGCAGACCAGATGGGAAATCCCTATAGATCAGGGGTCACCAACCTTTTGGATCTCAGGGACCACCAAATTCATACTTTTAAATCCCGAGGACCACTAATATGAATTTTTTAAAAAAGCTAATATATTTAATATAATGTTTTATGTTAATGTTACATATGTGTGTGTGTGTGTGTGTGTTTTCTTAAGTTTTCGCGGGTACTTACATGTATGGCATTCAGCTTTGTTCGGGTATTTTCCCATGTCATTGTAGTTGTGCTTTTAAAGTTGTAGCAACGTTTCAGCAGAATCTCATCTGCCATTATCAGGCTTCTGTATAGTGTTCAAACTTTTACTGTAAAAGTCTGACTCACAGATGAACACTATACAGAAGCCTGATGATGGCAGATGAGATTCTGCTGAAACGTTGCTACAACTTTATGTTCGGGTATTTTCCCATGTGTATATATATACACATATACATACATACATACACACACACACACACACACACATCATACACAAACACACACACACACACACACACACTTACTGATTTAATTATAACAAAAATGTGAATGCTTAATGATAACAAAATAAAATGTTCTGGGCTGGAAGCCTCCCCCACTTGGCACCTTCCAAAGAGACAGAACAGCAGGCGGTGTGTGTGTGTGTGTGTGTGTGTGTGTGTGTCTGAGCTGAGGGGCCTCGGGGCAACTGCTGCTGGGAGAAGCAGAGGGAGAAAGGGGGCTTTGCTCTCCTTGGGGGACAGTGCCCCTTGGCTGCCACTCCTGGGGCTTCTCAGCAGGCATCTGCCTGCAGAAGGACTGCTGCTCTTGGTGATTAATTGGGGGAGGGGAGGGGGAGAAATTGGGAGCTCCTTCCAGATTCCAGGTGGAGGATTGAGAGGCTCAGATCTGCAGCTGAGGAAAAGCTGGGGGGGAGGGCTCTTCCAGCCTCACCTGGAGACAGGCAAGGAAAGGTGTCCCTGGGGGCACCTCGCTCGCTTTAGCACTTCGCTGCCAAACCCAGCCACAGCCAGTGATTATTTGGGGGTGGGGGTGGGGGGGAAGAGAGAAAGCATCTTTCGCATTACCAGGGGAGGAAAGGAGACAAAACAAAGCTCACTCTTTCACTGAGACCTACAAAACACCAATCTACCGTGTTCCAGGAGTTCTTCAAAATCATCAAACGCTCCTACTTGCAGTTCTTGCGCCTCCTGGCTCAGGTCCCTGAGATGCACACTCCCACACACAGTGGCGGTGGCAACAACAGTCCCCTCCCTCAGTGCCCGCCGTCAGCTCTCCCCATTAGTTTTCTAGCCTTGAATTTCTCCCGGCTCTCTCTTTCCTCCCCACCACCCACGTGCAGGCAGGAAAGGGAGACGGAGCCTTGCACAGCTCTCCCCTTTTCCAGCCCTTGCTGCCTCTCCCAACATCAAAGCCTCGGAAACACAGGCAAAGCCGCCACAGCGGTAGGGCTCTGAGTTGCTTGCTTCTCCACTACTGCCTCCTCCTCCTCCTCCAGCACCACTTCCTTCTCTGGGTAGGGCATTTCTTAACTAACCGAGCATGCTAAGGCAACTCAGGACGCTGAAACAAGATGGCGGCGCCCAAGCAAACATTCTTTGCAGCCTGGTACAAAACGATACACGGACCGGTACCGGTCCAGGGCCCGGTGGTTGGGGACCACTACTATAGATGTTATCTGGCTCATAGTGAAGACTGGATGGACCCTGAGCCATAATCAAGTAATGATCTTATAATATTACCAAGTAAGAGAAGTCTCTTCTTCCTGTCTCAGTTTTCCACTGAGATAAGGAATTTATACAAGCCACAATATTCATGGTACAGTACCTGAATTCATATCAATTAGTTGTTCTCTCTTCTTTTGCTTTTCTTGACGTTCTTTCTCTGCTTTTTCTTTTGCTAGTTTAGCTCTGCGCATCTTCTCCTCCATCTCACGCCTTTTCTGATTCTCCTTCACAGCTTGCTAAAAATGAGACAAAGGTGATAAGATAGACAAATGGACAATCATAACAATGAATTTGCTGTGTTGTTATGATACGCATATCATATTTTTCATTTAGTAGAATAAAAGACTGCAATGCTGGCTACCATGCAAGACAAAGTTCAGTAAACAGTGATGGGTTTATGAATGATAAAATTTATTTATTACTTTTATCCATAAAAATTAATGGAAACACAAAATATACAGGTAATATATCCCTGAGAACCAAATGCTGGAGGATAATATACCCTAACATATTTACCTAAATTTATTTTTATTTTACTCAAATAAAAATAGGAATATTAATTTCACTACAAATATCACTGTTTAAATACAGCCCTACCCTAATAAGCTCTCATCTCTATACTATACTTCTCTATACTATACTTGTCCTCTGGTTTACATTATTTTGCAACAGAGTTTTTAAAGAATTTTGAGCATTTGGACTTATAATGGATATTGACATAGGTTTATGGAACTTGAACACATTTAGCAATATTTGTTGTCTGCAGAAGTACTGACCTATTTTTCAACATTTTCAAAATTTTGTCTCTAGCAGTCCAGCAACGACACTGAACATCTATTCCTATCAATATCAACCAGCTTATGAATTATAGGTAATGTTGATATTTATAATCCTATGAATTCTTGGGAAATATGATATAAAAATTAAACAAGCAAGCAAGAAAACAAATAGATAATTCAAGTGTAAAAAGACTAAAAATCCAACAATATATAAATATACAATAGGAGCAAAATATGCAGCATATGCAACAGAAGTAGCCACCTCTTTATGTCATACAATTTGAATTTGTTTCAAAGTATTGCTTTGTTTGATGTAAAAAGCAAAGCTCAAATAAATAGTGGCTATTTAAATTAAATTAAATATGTAATATAACATATTGTAATTAAAACATGGATGCTCACCACAAACATATTTTTGAAATTGCGCAGATTTGTGAAGAACTCCTCAATAGATATCTTATTGGTATCAAAGAGGAAGTATTGTCCTAATTCCCTATAAAGGTTTTCCATATTTGCATGCATCATTCGTAGCTTCTCATACTGTTCTTGGGCTTCTTTAACAAAGCTGTAAGACTAGAGTTAAAGACTTCTAACAATTGTAAACATACTTTCTGAGAATAAGTTGATTGCTTTGAAGTTGCTAAGAGTTTGGCTTTTTGTATTTTTAGTTTCAGATTCTATCGCATCCTTTTATGCAAAAAGCAGTTTGACAAAATAACACCATATAATTAATTAAGAGGAATTAACACAGTACTAATGTAACAACGCTCTTTTTCGCAAAATAAATTCTGATTAGATCATTGTGATTCACCTCATTTTTATATTCCATTGACTTCTAGCTATTGGAAAGACCATTGCTGACTGCAAATAATTTACTTCCCTGTCTGCAACTCTTCATAGGGTACAAAGGGAGGACTCAGCTACAGCTGCTTTACCTCGGGGATTGAAGCAATCATAGCTATTTTAAAATTTTAATTTATTGAAATGATTGTATCAATAAAGTGTTAAGTTATTATTAAATCTATTTTAAATATACTGCAGGTTATTAATTCATAATTTATACATTTTAAACAGCAAAGTAAAATTATTGAATACATGAATAAGCAGTCTTTCATTGAACAAGATCATCTGGGTACTTGCTGCCTTATCTTATCAATAGTCATCTGTTGGAATAGCATCAAATGTGACAGCTACCTGCAGTTCATTGGGTTCTCTCTGAATACCAAAAGGAGATCATTTCTAGAGGCATGATCCCTTATACTTCTGGTGAAAATAGCGCCCTTAACTCATATGTTCAAGATTACAATAAAGAGAATCCTCTCTATTGATTTTAATGGCTACTATCTTTTATCAGAGTCCTTTTTGAATCTCCCTTGCAAACGCTGTAATATATAAATGAAGATGGTGTGCTCCTGTGACGTCCAAAGCATTTTCTAAAACCATTTTCAGGAAGTCTACCACCTTAATTGCTACTTGCATGAGGAAGAAATGCCATCCCCAAGTGAAAAATGCTTGGCGAGGGGAGAATTCTCTATTAGTGAATGTTCCTAGTTATCCTCCTCTCAACATTTATTCGTTCAGAAAAATAATTTTCTATGTGTTAATGTGTAGGCTTGTGCCTCTGCAAACCATTATACTACAACATTTAGTAATTGAATTTTGGGTAGGAACTCCATCCTCCAGCACTTGCAGCAAAGATAGATGGGCACATTATGTAAAAACCAATAAAAATCAAAATAAACAAGTAAGCCAGTTACAGGTATGCAAACTATTGTTATTCATCAACTTCATTCATCTTTCTGTATCACTCACATTGGAGTATAGCAAAATTACCTAGGAGGCGGGCCAACAAGTCCTCAACAAAAGATGTTCCAACCCTTTCTAGGGCTTTCTAAAGACATCTTAAAAATGTAATAAGCATCTTTCAGCAAATTTTGTAGAAGTTGTTCTTGTGAAAATGACTTAGATGAGAGGCACATATGAGAGGCAAGACAATATTAGCTTTCTGAAAAAATGTTGCCATGCCTTTATAAAAAAATACCTCTAAATTCATTAACCAAGATTTAAAAAATGAGCAAATTCTCTTTCACTCTTGGGAGAATGGTAGAAAACAATGCCCTGCTGAAATGAGAAACAGATATTAAGTTTCTATACAAGAGTAATTTCTAACCACAATATCATTTTCTTCCATGATTACTAAGATATCTAAATCTGGAAGATGCTTGCCACTCCAAGACCACTTCCAAAAACAATTTTTTGTAAACAACCAAAGAGAAATGGCAGCCAGAGATCAAATGATTTATATATTATGTTAAATGTACTCAAAATCTCAAGTGAGGACTTATGGTGTTTCAGGATATAATTTATTCAATTTACTTAGTATCAATTAACCACAGGATGCTAAACTAAATATCCATGTTACATGGATGTATCTACGGGGCAAGATTTCTGTGAGTTCAGCTATGGAATATTTTGGAAGAATAGGTTACGCAGGTGCAACTCCAGATAGACTATGGCAGATAAGCTTTATTTATTCATACCTAATTCTACTGCCTGCAAATCACCCAAAGAGACACCAGGAAGAATTTACACTTTCAACTGTTTGAATGGGAGACTACTCAAAGCAAGACAGTATCAATAACTACTCGTATTTTCCCGAAAACATGACTGTGTTTTATTTATTTTGGGGGGTATCTTATTTTTTTTCCACATATGGGAGGGCAACTTCTGCTTGCTCGTTGTGGGGCAGGAGGCCATATGGTGTGCCAGTGCCACTGTTACAAGGCAAGGGGGTGGAGCTACCTCACATGCCCCATACCAGCTTACCTCATGGCCCCTGCTGTCAGGCCACCTCGTGGCGGCGGTTCCAACAGCCCTATCCAGGACCCCATGTAGCCACTAGCCCACTTCTTTTGCTTGCTTGTGGTTGCAATGGAGCAGGAAACCATGAGGTGCCACAACCATGAGGCAAGACAGGGAATGGAGATTCCTCCATGCACTGGCTCACTTCAGGGTCCCCACAGCCAGACCAACCACACCCTGAGAGCTGCCATGTGACCACAGCAACAGCACACCACTCAGCCTCCTCTATGAGCAAGCAGAAGTGGGCAGGCAGGCACATGGGCTCCTGCTGCACATGGTTGCCGGTACTGTTACTGCGAGTCAGGTATTGGGGCATGGATAGCCTGGCTGTGGAGGCCCTGAGGTAAACCGGTGCAGGACGTGTGGGGCAGCTCCACCACCACCTTGGTGGCCACCACGAGAAATCTAATAGAATGGGCTGAGCAGGGTCTTAAGTAGGGCTAATTTGGGGGGTAGGGCACACACGTAAAACATGCTATGTCTTATTTTCAGGATAGGTCTTATTTTGCTAAGGGTTCCCATTACTGTCATTACCTTGTGAAAAATGAGACAAGTCCTGTTTTGGTACAGTGTATCTTTCTAATACTATTAAAGTTTGTCAATAAACAGTGATATATTAATGCGACTTTAAGAACCTTAAAAGGTAATTTTTTTCTTTATAATGAAAATTAGAATTCTCAGAAAAAATAATATAATGAGAATTCTTATCCCTCAGTATCATAAATATGATTCTTTCTTTCATAGGTTATTTTTCAACATTTCTCAGTGAAGAGTTTTGAAGGATATGGTCATTTTCTCCACAAATTTGTCCTTTTCTTCTGTTCTACTGGGAAAATTGTTAACATCATGCTGTAGATCCAAAATCTGTTTGTTCATCTGGTCCAGATTTTTCCGCAAAATTTCAGCAGAAACTTGGGGAAGAAAAAGAGACAATATAGCAGAATTGCAGAAACAATTAACATCAACTAAAAGAATAGTTTTTATTTACTGTAGTCACATTCTCTACGAAACCATGTAAGTATGTTCTTTGGATTACCCGCTTCCCTTAAATGAGAAGGGTTAGTCTGATTAATATTACTTCATGGGACAGTTTCTACTTGTGTTCAAGTTGAACAGGAAAGAAAACTTAGGAAAGCTAAAATAAATTTACAGTAGTAAGAAAAAAGTAGAGTTATGCTCCAACTTGGAATAAAACTCAAATCTGATGTAAAATGGGGTAATAGAAAGTATGTAATTTTAAATTGTCTTATTTCCAATTCAAAAATTATTTTAGAAGTCTGCCTATAATATATAGACTGCAACTCCAGCATACAATGGAATGGGCAGGATATTCTGCAGCAATCAAAATTTAAGATTTTAACCTACTCTAAAGCAAACCATGCAAACTCCTTTGTGCAACCAGAGGGATAAATATGAATTCACAGAACTGAGATTTCACAACCAGCATGCATCATCCACATTGATTAACTAGGATATTTGAAGAGCTGCATATTCAAAAGTACTGTCCCATTAATATACATGCTCAGGAATGCCAAAATTAGGCTTTATAAGACTCTTTGGCTTAAGAGCAGTGTTTGTAGGTGACAATGTACAATAAAGTGATATCAGCAAAGGAAAAGGCCTGAATTAAAGGCAACAGCATATATGATAGGAAGTTATATAATTCTACAAAGACAGCATTTTTGCAATAATTAGCACCAATCATTCAAAAGCTAAAATAATATTATTAAACATTTGAATGTTTTCAGATCATTCAAGAAACTAAAAAAACATACAGCCTGTATATATTGTAAACAGAAAAAAAATGAGAAAGTGAGATAAAAACTGACTTTGGTTAAGAATATTTAAGTTAGTGAGAAGTAAGACAAGCATTGTCTTATTACAGACAATTACAGCTTGATGACATATACTGCTCTCAGTATAATACAACATGACTGAGATGAAGGAATACACTTATTTCATTGAGCTGGTCACTAGGTGGTCAGACAACATCTGGACCAGGTGGGATACTTGCAGGAAAAATACATGATTATAAGTAAATAGACCAAACATAATTTTTTTTCATCATAGTGCAATTATAAATAACTGACCATAACAAACATCTGCAGCCATCATTTTTATATTTTCCTCTCCACACTTCCTGCTATGACAAACCCTATCCAAACATAGATCTAACATTTCTTTCAGGAAAGACAAAAATATGGAAACAGGAAGGATAACAAAATAGAGTAATGCAATATCCTGCAAACCCGCAAAGAAGATTTTACTCCTGCTCATTCTATATTAGCATATGAAGAAAGCAGAAGCTGAGATTTTGTTTTCATTGATAACAAAGTACTGTATATTATTCGGACCTGTTGACACTACAAATATCATCTAAAAATAATGCATACCTGTACACCCCAGATCTATTTAATGAATATTATATGCTTTCCTCACACCTCAAAAAGGAAAGAGACTGAAACTGATCTTGGTTGTACTTGCCCAGTTGAAGAAGTGAAGGAGTTGTGACTAAGGGTCTTCATACTATTATTGCACACATTTTTTCTTTGCTTTTAAGAGTTTATTGTATTTTTTGACTGGTACAGCTGCAATTATTTGAACATATTACATTTGTGTCAAGAATACCTACCAAGGCACTTCCAGATTGAAAGGATTAGTCAGTGACATTACCATTGCCCAAGGGATGCCTGAAAGGGTTCCTTTATGTCCCTATTATTTTCCCACTGAAGTGGTATCTACTTATTTATCTATTTGAATTTGCATGCCTTCAAACCATTAGGAGAGCAGGCAAATTGATGGGAGCCCATTCTGTCATGTGGCTCACACTCTTGGATTTAGATCTGGGAGGATCGGCTGCAGACAGGCAATGGTGATGAGGCAGCAGATTCCCCCTGATGAGGAACAGCTATCTCCCCCACTTGATCTGAGGGCATGAAGTGGGAAGTAGGGAAGCTCAAAGAAGATCTGCAAGGCTGCTGGCGAAGAGGCCATCCCACCCCAACTCACAAGGAACACCTGAATTGAGATGATTTAATTAGAGGCCAGGGGAGGGTTTCTTCGTTGGGAACAATAGTTTCGCTTTGGCACACACTTCCCCACCTTTGTAAACTCTGCTTTGGGTCATGTTTCTGCCCTATGGACTCCGACCTTGCTTATGGACTCTGGGTCTTGCCTTTTGGACCTTGAACCTTGTTTATAACTTATGGACCTTGCCTTTTAGACTTTGCACTTTGGTTTTGGACTACAGACTTCCTCCTTGCCTTGTGAATCAGCTCTGGTGACTTTTGGCTTTAGTTTGTGGGACTGTGTTGCATTGACTGGGTGGTTGTCTTCTGGAAATTTTGGCGTAGAGCTTTACTGGCTGTTGTACGGTCATTTTGTATGGGATAGCAAAGCAATAAAAGACTTTATTGAAGCCTGCATCTGCCTAAATGACCTGAGTCATAGCAGACTGAGACAATCAGCAATATTATTTTAAGAGATAGAAAATAGAACAGAACAGAATTCTTTACTGGCCAAGTGTGATTAGACACACAAGGAATTTGTCTCTGTTGCATAAACTCATAGTGTACATATAAACAAGTAGTATGTCATAATAAATAATAAATCATATCGTAGTTACAATCATTGATTCTACAAGGGATCTTGGAGGACTTCTAGTTCAACTACCCGGCCCAAGGCAGGAGACCTTATATCATCCCAAATGGTTGTCCAACTTATTCTTGAAAACCACCAGAGATGGAGCATCATCAACACCAGGAGACATTGATTAATTGTTTTCACTGTCAGGAAATTTCTCCTTAGTTCCAGGTTGGATCTCTCTTTAATGAGCTTCAACCCATTACTTCTTGTCCTGACGTGCGGTGCTTTGGAGAATAAGTCAACTCCTTCCTCTCTGTGACAGCCCCTCAAGTACTGGAAGACAACTATGTCACCCATAATCTTTCTCTTCATAAGGCTAGACATATTTAGTTCTCTTAATTGTTCATCGTATGGTTTAGCCTCCAAGCCTTTATCATTTGTTGCTCTTTTTTGAACTCTTTCTAGGGTTTCAGCATCTTGTTTTGGTATTTTGCCGACTAGACTTGGATGCATTATTCCAAGCGTGGCCTCACTAATGCAGTATAAAGCAATACTATCAATTGTGATCTTGATGCTATCTCTCTGTTGATATAGCCTAGGACTGCTTTGGCAGCTGAAGCACCATGCTAACTGGTTCACTAGATCTACTAGGATAGCTAGATCCCTCTCACAATTGCTATGAGCCAAGTACAATCTATACCATTTGATTCTATACCATATTCCATACCATATTCTATGCCATTTGATTTTTCCTGCCTAAGTGCAGGTACTTAATTTTCTCACCAATGGATTACATCTTGTTGGATAGGGCCTAATGTCTGTCAAGAACCTTCTGAAGAGTCTATCTTCCAAAGTATTAGTAAAGTCTATCAATGTATCAGTCTCAGAAATCTTGGATTCTTAGATACTAGATACTTGTTTATTGATCTAACAGGGGAGCCATTGTATTACATTGACATACTAACTTCATTATTCACACAACTTTCAAAGATTTCAAAATTTGGGGACATGTGACCATGTCAGATTAGAATTCAATATAATGCAGACACAAGCAATAGAACAAAATAAAACTATTGTCTTAGACCTCAAAATAACTGATTTCGACAAACTTAGAAATCTGATTTTAGATAACTGATTTCAACAAACTTGGGAAAGATTCCTTAAAGAGGAAAACAAATCAAGAAGCTTGGGAAATTCTTAAAAATGTGATTATAAATTCCAGTGCAGCATAATATCACTGAAAAGAAAAATAATGAGATCCAAGAAGAAACCAGAATGCATAAAGAATTCTCTGATAAACTGGATAAAAAGATAAAAAGGATAAGTATAAAAAATGGCAAAAAACTAAGGCAGAGTACCAACAAGTAGCCCGAACTTGCAACTATGAAATCAGGAAAGTTCAGTCTTAGAATGAACTAAGACTTGTAATAATTGTCAAAAATAACAGTAAAAGTTTCTTGCAATATGTTAAAAAAAAGTCAAGGAAACAAATCACTCCACTAATGGGAGAAGATGGCAAGGAAGTGATGGACAGCAGGGAGAAAACGGAGCTGCTTAATTCATTCATCTTCACATGAAAGGAAAAAAATAGCCCAACCTAACAAAAGTAGAATCATAAAAGACAGATTAGGAATATAAATTAAAATAGACAGAAAAATAGAACACTTGGCCCAAATGGGCTATCGGCAGAAACATATAAAGAGCTACAAAATATTTTGGACCAATCATTACTAGAGGTATACAATGCAGTTTTAGCTGAAGTGAAGATACCACCATCATGGGTAGAAGCTAACATCACTTTGATACCAAAAGAGGATTCAGATTTAATGCAAATAAAGAACTACAGACCCATATCCCTACTGAATGCCAACTATAAAATATTCACCTCAACAGTAGCAGAAAGAATGAAGAGATTTTTGAAGGAGTTTATACACCCTGACCAAAATGGCTTTCTACCCAAAAAGCAGATAAGAAAAAATACGAGAGTAATATTAGATCCATTGGAATAGTATGAAACACATAAAGAAAAGCAATTGGCTTCCGTGGCGGCATGTGGTTGAGTGGCACGAAGGAACAGCGCTCTGTTTTTCGTTGCCTATCTTCAGTGTTCTGGGAGCCAACAGAGGCAAAATCGTTCCTGGGGGGATCGGTGACGGAGAGAGGAACCTTTGGAGCTGAAGAGGGAAGGTGCAATCCCCAGCAGTGCGATTGGAGGAGCCCTTGAAACCGGCGTTGAAGAGTTGGACTTTGGTGGCTGACCCAGAGACCAGCCGACACATGAGATTGGAAAGGGAAGCAAAGAGAAAGTACGGTGTGAAGAAGTGGT